CCTTCCCCCAGCGGGGACACCCGGGCCGGGGGTTGGAGTGTTGAGCTTTGAAAAGCGCCCGTTGAGAACCCCCATCCGGCCTTTCTTTCCCCAAACCCGGGCAGAGCTGCGGGGACACGAACCGACCCGTCTCCGCCCGTAGCGACGGGCCCGCCCTGCTGGGGAGACGGGCTGGGGAAGGGAGGGCTCCGGGGAGACCTTGGAGCCCCTTCCAGTCCCTCAAGAGGCTCCAGGAAAGCTGGGGAGGGACTCTGGATGAGGGAGGGGAGCCCTAGGAGGAGGGGGAAGGGTTTGACACGGAAAGAGGGGAGATGGAGCTGAGATGTGGGGAAGAACTTGTTTGGTGTGAGGGTGGTGAGAGCTTGGCCCAGGTTGGCCAGAGAAGCTGTGGCTGCCCCATCCCTGGAGGGGTTCAAGGGCAGGTTGGAGGGGGCTTGGAGCAACCTGGTGTGGTGGGAGGTGTCCCTGCCCAGGGCAGGGGGTAAGACTGTGCGGGCTTTAAGGTCCCACCCAACCCAAAATGTTCCTGGTTCTGTGGTTACCCAGGTTTTACAATGAGCCCGGCAGCACAAAGGGCTGAGGAAGGACAAATTCCAGCATTTCCCTTCAGTAACATGCATAGCTCACTGGAGTAGATTTAAAAGTAAAATTATTTTTCTGGAAGAGCTTTCACTCGCCTCTCCCCAGTGGGTGTCTGAAGGTTTGTCTTTGCTGTTGTGTTGGGGGGGAGTAGTTTGTGAACGGTGGTTCAGTCTGTGGTGCAGAACCAGGTCTGAGGTGCTCACACCCCGACCCCTTCCCCCCAACCCCCAGGTGCTGTGTCCCCCACCCCAGGTGCTGTGTCCCACACCGGCGCCGTGACAGCGGAGCAGAAACACCCCCGGGAGCTGGGTAAGTGCCTCTGACGGGCCCGTAGCTCTTCCTGCAACAAGTGTCTGCCCCTGGCTGTGGCTGTGACTGTGTTCTTGGAAGGAGTCGGTTCTACCAGTTTCACAGGACCTTTTTTTTCCCAAAATTGGCTTCCATTGTCCTTGTTGACTGTCTCGTGTATCCTTGTGAGCTGGTTGCTTTCCTGGCCGACACTCTCTGGGACACTCTCTCAGAGTGTAGCCTTTCAGTGTGACATTGATACAGAAGTGCAGGGAATAGGAATGAAATTAATTTGCAGTTAGGACTTTAAAAAAGAACAACCGGGCAGTTTCTTCATCTACAGTAGTCTTCGTCATATTCTGTGTGGATTTTGCTCCTTTAAAAATAAAAACTAGAAGGGTATTTTATAGATGTGTAGTTAAAAGAGCTTTATTTGCCCCTAATTGCCATCGTGGATCTGTGAAGTGTGGCTGGTGTCAGGGAGGGAGCAGTAAGAACCCACAGCCTCAAGCCAGATCCAGGTGGCAGTGCTTCAGACCAAGCCTCGTATCCTCCATCCCTCGTTTGTACTAAAACTTCCCATGTGAAATCCCTCCCCGTTTGCATCTAACGAGCCTTTTCTCACGTTCCCTCAGCGGTGCCCAGAGCACTGGCTCCCATGGAGGCAGGAGATGGGTCTGTGTGTGCGGCTCTGCTGCCGCAGGAGGAGCAGCTGGAGGTGCTGGAGCGCCTGGACTTCGTGCTGAGGAACATCTCGGAGCTGAGGAGGGAGGTGGAGGAGCTGCGAGGCACCCTGCAGCGCTTGGCTGCCGAAATCGTTGGCGAAGTCAGGTACCCACCCTGCCCCTTGCCTTTTCTGCTCTTGCACTTATTTACTCCGTAGTGTGGTAGAACAGCCGGGATTGGGTATGTTACATTTATAACCCAGAAGGGGGAAAAATGTCTCTTTAGTTTCTGCTGGTGTTACGTCTTGACCTCCAGTGAGGTTATCATAGAAAAAATTGTCTTTTTAGCCACTGTTTGGGTTTTTTTTCTTCTGGAATATTAAGTACTGACACTTGCTTCGTGTTCTAGACTGGGAAGGTTATTTGTTGTGTAAATGTTTATCTCTTGCTACCGCTGTTTTCTCTCTGCTGCCAACCGTAGGTAACTTTTGATAGAGAATAAAAGGTCCTGTGTGCTGCAAGGTGTTTGAGGATTCCTTTGTTCTTCCTCATGGAGGAAATCAGAGGAATGTGTGGGATCTGATCACCCCTCTGTGTGTGGGTTGTGTGTATGGATTGTGTATGGACTAAGCCTGTGGGCAGGCTTGCTCTGACTGTGGGATACAGTGTTTGATGCACGGAAGAAAGTGAAATGGAGAGAATCTGCTAGAGAGGAGAAGGGAAGGGAAATAGCAGACATTTCTCTACCAGATGTAATTTCTTTCTCTTTTTCCCTTCCCTCCAAGGTCCCATCTGGAGGAAACCCAGAAAGTCACTCGCCGGCGGCGGTTCCCGTTTGCCAGAGAGAGAAGCGATTCCACGGGCTCCAGCTCCATCTACTTCACAGCCAGCTCAGGGGCCACCAACACGGACGACGGGGAGAGCGAAGGAGGGTGAGCAGGGAAGCAGCTCTTATGGGCTTTGCTCCCCAGTTACTGACCTCGGAGCAGTTTATAACATAAGGGAAGGGATTTTCTTCCCCACTAGGTGTCTGTCATCCTGGTTTTATTTGCTTTTATTACAGTAAGTCTACTGCCAGGGCCAGATGGAGAGAATTGCAACAATTCCCACTTTTAGAGAAGGGGAGAAAGAAAAATACATGTATATAATTTTTGAGGGTTGTTTAACATAGTAATTTGATAAGGGAACCTTGCGGACAGAAGAGAAGTAGAAGTCCAGCCTGGGACTTCAGTGAGAGAGTTTCTAAAGAAAACTTCCATACAATAATATATTTTAGAATGTCTGGAAAACTTGAGAAAGTTAAAAATATACTCCAATTAACTGAAATTAACTAGTCTTTGGCTAGGGTATTTCTTAGGGATTTTTCTCAGTGTCACACGGATCAGTTTTGTTGCTTGAGTTCTTACGGCTTACAAACAGGTGAAAAGTACTGTGTAATTTAAGGACATCAGTAAAACTGACAGTATAGATGCAAGTATTGTCATATTGGGCAGATAACAAGAGCTTTGCTGTGTGTGTGTGGGACTGCCCCCTCGTTGGTGGAATGCTTCCCTTCTGAGCCCTAACCTGAGGACTTCTACAGCTTTTGAGGTGTGGAAGTGTGTTCTAAAATTTGCCAAGCTACCCCCTTTTCCCAATGAAATGAGATGTAGTTTAGGGAGAAGCTGATCCTGGCTCTGAGAGCAGTCGGGCAGGGTTAGGAGGGGACAGGCTGTTTGGTGGCAGCTGGCACAAAGTGGCACTTGGTGGCACGGGTTTGTCATCGGGGGACAAAGCAGCCGTTACTGTCGCAGCCCCCTAGAACAAAGGCCACGGGTCTGAGGAGAGCAGCCATTGTGACTGCTGTAAAACCGAGTCTTTTTAGTATTTTACCTTTAATAGCTGGAATCAGTGAAGCAGGAAGGACTGAGGTGCTCTCGGTCAGGTTATGGAGCTGCTCCCTTCATCTGCAGTGGGTGTTCGCCTGAAAGCAGAGCCAGGGAGTAGTGATTCACAGGGGGGAATGGGTAGCGGGGCTGCATAAAAATGTATTTTAAAGCTATATACTTGGTTCTGAAGACAAGGCCTCGCTGTCTAGATAACAGCAGATGCATTGAGGCATCAGGGTGCTGATGTGTTCCGTAAAGTGGCCTGAAAAGAGTCCTCTTCAGCAGATCCAGCCCTGGGGTCACCTGAGCATTAGAGGGGTTTAAATTGTGATAGAGGCTGACAGCAGTTGTAAGGTTCAGAGAAGGCACCTCCTTGGGGGACCCCGCGTGAGCTGCGGAGCAGGGATGTATTTCACTGCCAAACCTCGTAACTTTATTGGCAGCCTGGAGGTGGCTGGAGGAGTTCTGATGTGCTGTTCAAGATCTGCCATCAGGTGTAATGAGCAGTGTGCAGGATTGTTGGATAAGCAGCTCTCATCTAAAAAGAATAATTTGAACAGTTCATAATTCTCACTCTGGTATTAGTGCTGTACACTGCAAAACCTCATAACTTTATTGGCAGCCTGGAGGTGGCTGGAGGAGTTCTGATGTGCTGTTCAAGATCTGCCATCAGGTGTAATGAGCAGTGTGCAGGATTGTTGGATAAGCGGCTCTCATCTAAAAAGAATAATTTGAACAGTTCATAATTCTCACTTTGGTATTAGTGCTGTACAAATAGGTATAATATTAGCCTGTTCAGGACCAGCTGCCTTTAGTGTGCAATATTGTCTTTTAGAGGTGTAAATGCTAACATTTTCTAGTAGAAAATCAGGTAGGAAATAGATGTTTTGGAAAAGACTGCTTAAGCTTTTTAGAGCCGCTGGGAGGAAGAACGAGCCTGTTCTCAGCAGATGGATTTCAGCTGTGAGTTCGTTTCTGGCAGTGGTGGTCTCTTAATGAAATTCAGAAAGAGCAACTCACATTTCAGCTGTGTTTTGCAAACCACACGGACATGAGCATCTTCTCTGGTTTCACACACAATTCACACAGATCCTTCCGAGCTCGGGGGAGCCTGGGGGTCTCGGGCTGTTCAATTTCTCTCTGTCGTTTGGCACCGCGTTGGTCTTTGGGCTTCTTTGCCTCTTCTTGCCAAGTGCTTTTTCCTTCCAGATAGTATGTTTTTGTTTTCCTTCAGGATGTGTGCTGGCCAGAGGCCTCTGCATGCTAAAGCTTCTAAGAACTTTCCATCATCGTAAACTGGAGAAAACAGGCTGATAACATCTAAATCCCTTAATCTTCCTGAAAGCTCCCAAGTCTCCCAAGTTTATGAAGTTATATATATGGTATTACTTCTCCCTTTAAACTGGCAGCATCTTGTATGGGCTGTCTTGGAGAAAACACAGTTTTGTGATGGAGGGAGAAGGGGTGTGAGGAGCCTTCCATCGCTGGCTGCTTTTTGTGTTCCAGGAGCCACCAAAAGCGTTTTTCAGCTGAAATATGGAGATCTCTGCAGCTGCCAGGGGAATGGTGCAGTGAGACAGTGTCACTGCCCCCAGCTCTGCTGCACTGTAGGGAAATAAGAGAATTGGAGGAGTTGGTGTGTAAGTACCGAAAATGAGGTAGTCTAGGGAATTAATAATATCATTAATCTTAGAGAAAATACCAAGAAATGAAGCTTTTAATCTGAAACTGAGCCGTGCTGGTGTCACCTACCACTGCATGGCTACATTATCCATTAATTTAGTGCTGCCTGTGTAATCTCCAGCGTGTGTTCTTGTAGAACTTGCTGTCCTGCCTCTGCAGCCATAAGGCTGACTTTAACTTTATTTCTTGCCTTAAAATATTTCAGTGACAGAGGCGCGTTGTTAAATTTGTGGCTGCGGGTGGGCAGCTGTGGTGGGTGGCCTCTGTAGAGGGGGAAATGCTGGGGTGGTGTTGATGGGTCCCAGCAAACCGAGTGTTGATAGCCAAACAGCCAAACCTGTCTCCTTATCTCCATGTGGCCACACTCCTGGAGCTGCTTTCTCCAGATACGGACTGGGGTCCCCTATCTTTGTCTCCAGCTTCACCCACAGCAGCAGGCTCTGCCTCGGGGCAGGACAAAAGGGAGCACAGCCATGGTGACCAACTGCCCCTGGGCTGCAATGGCTTTACATTCTAGCAGAACTGGTAAAGTTGGCTTGGGCACAGCTTAATCGGGTGACAATTGCAAACTTCCCCTAGAATTAAGTGTTTATGGGATGTGAAGTTGAAGTGGCTTCTTTCAGGAAGAGAGCTTTCTGCTCAGATAAACCAACAAAACCTGAATATACAAGTGCACATCCTGAAATTGCTGGCTTGTTCTTCAGCAGATTGCTCACAGGTCAATGTGAGGAGGACAAATAGAGAGGCTCCTTTAAAAAGAACTTTGTTCTGAGAGCAGATCCCCCACTGCGATGGGATCAGTCCATATATAACGCTGTTTACAGTTTCCAGCTTAGGTGCCTGCATGTGATTTGGGGGAGCTTAATTTTAGCTGTTTTCATAAACTTCAATCTGAGCTTTCTCCTGGTTCGTTTGACTAATTCAGCAGTGTTTCCAGCTTAGGTGCCTGCATGTGATTTGAGGGAGCTTAGTTTTAGCTGTTTTCATAAACTTCGATCTGAGCTTTCTCCTGGTTTGACTAATTCAGCAGTTAATTGTTGCCTGGGGTTTTGTACGTGTGGTGTCTTTCTGTGGCTCAGCTGCTGGACTTTGTGCCCACATGAGACAGTTCTGATCCCTCTCCTGCTGTTTTGCACCTTTTCACGTGTCAGAGTGAACAAGCTGTTTCACATTCGGCGCTCAGACAAGGGGATGGAGGTACAAGATACTGCCAGAACAGCTATTCTGTCTGAAATTTCCTGGAACAGGCTAAAAACCTCAAGTTGTGTTTTCCACATGGATGAGTGTGTTGGGTTTTTTGTTGAAATTCTTTTGTATAATCCGTACATTGAACTGACTTGTCCTGGCTCTGTTCTTATTTCTCTAATTCCCTTACGCTGAACTTTGCAGGCCTAAGAGAAGCTGTTAGAGTGTGTAGCTGAGAAGTGGATGCTGTGGCTGAGTTCTTACTCATTACTGCTTAATGTTTGGGGGCTCTCCTTCATCAGCTTTTTGAGGTTGAGTGGATGCTGTGGCTGAGTTCTTACTCATTCCTGCTTAATGTTTGGGGGCTCTTCTTCATCAGCTTTTTGAGGTTGTGTGTGTTAGGTGAGAAATAATGACTGGTGTGTTACTTGAGACACTGGGATTGCACGGTGTTCCCTAGGATGAGTTAAGATACTCCTATTCCTCTGTTAGGAAGAGTTGTTTTTTCTGTACCACAGCATCTCCTCAAACTAATTTTGCTTTGTGTTTTTTTGTTGATTTTTTTTCCCTGGAAGGTACACCACAGCCAACGCCGAGTCGGATTACGACCGGGAGTCCGAGAGGGAGAGCGAGGAAGGGGAAGATGAAGTGAGCTGTGAAACAGTGAGGACCGTGCGCCGGGACTCCCTGGACCTGGTCAACGAGGAGGAAGCCCATCTGACCCTGGATCCCTCGCTGGAGGAGGGGCTGGGCCAGCTCCTGCAGCAGGCAGACCGCTTGCACGGCGGGGACCAGCAGGAGAAGAGAGAGGGCTTCCAGCTACTGCTCAATAACAAACTGGCGGTAAAGGTTGCCTTTTCATACTTTCCAGCAGTGATTTGTGGCTTTGGTTAAATAGCTGGGAAAAAGGAGGTTGCATCTCACAGCAGGGCCCAGGTCCTGCACCACGACTAGGTTGGCTTCCAGCAGACCCCTCCTCGGTGAGGATTGCTGGGGCTACAGCAGCCAGTTCCCAGTCACTCTCTGCCTTGGAACTCTGTGTCTCCTCCTGTCAGCACTTTCCCTGTGTGAACACACTGTACGCGTGTGAAATAACAGCTCTGAGTGTGTGCAGTGAGCTCAGCAAGCCTTTTGAGGACGTTTACCTCATTTTGTGTGTGATGGCTCCATCTGTAGTCAGGAAACTTGCTCTTTCTGAGCACTGCCTGGTGCACGTGTGTGGTGGTTCATGAAATAAGTTGCATGTTCAAACAGAAGGGTCTGGCAACACTTCCGTTGCCAGAAGTGTTAGTGAATGAGATTGAAAGCCTGGATGGTGTGGGTGTCCTGCTGTGGCTGTTGTCACCCTGCTGTGGCTGTTGTCACCCTGCTGTGGCTGTTGTCACCCTGCTGTGGCTGTTGTCACCCTGCTGTGGCTGTTGTCACCCTGCTGTGGCTGTTGTCACCCTGCTGTGGCTGTTGTCACCCTGCTGTGGCTGTTGTCACCCTGCTGTGGCTGTTGTCACCCTGCTGTGGCTGTTGTCACCCTGCTGTGGCTGTTGTCACCCTGCTGTGGCTGTTGTCACCCTGCTGTGGCTGTTGTCACCCTGCTGTGGCCGTGCCAGGTCCTGCTGCGGCTGCACTGCCTGCCCCTGACAGGGGCTGCCTGCCTTCTGCAGGGCCAGCTAAGAAAATGTTACCAGCCTTTTAAAAAGCAAAACTTTCTTGGCTCCTGTATTTCCAGGAGGAATAGAAGGAAGGAAATAATGGATAACTTGAAGAGTTCTACTTTCAAGTAGATTGGGATTTTTTACCTTCCCACCAGGACGAAATGAGAGGCCTGTTGGCTTTTGAAATTCTCTTGTGTGCTTCTTCCTGGTGATTCTCCCACTTTCTTTTATTTACAATACTGTCCCAAAAGAAACCAGACTGTTAGGTGGTTGTGCTTAATTTTCTACTTTTTTTTTAAGTAAGTTTGAGTTTGTTAGAACATACCCGGATTGGGATTTTTTACCTTCCCACCAGGACGAAATGAGAGGCCTGTTGGCTTTTGAAATTCTCTTGTGTGCTTCTTCCTGGTGATTCTCCCACTTTCTTTTATTTACAATACTGTCCCAAAAGAAGCCAGACTGTTAGGTGGTTGTGTTTTAATGTTCTACTTTTTTTTTTAAGTAAGTTTGAGTTTGTCAGAACATACACACTTCAGGTTTAGCAGTGCCCCTCCAGCACTGCCCTGGGTTTAAGAAAGCAGCGGGATGTGAAACAGTGTGAATATGTACTGGAGTGTGAAAAAAGTGACATTGAAATTGTGAATTTTAATGAAGTGGTGAGGTTTGGGGGGGGGTTTCCCCAGTGTTTTGAGGTTAGTGGAGACTGAAGAACTGACCCCAGTATGGGTTTGAAATGGAAGGGTTCCTTGTTAGAAAGTGCTGACAATTAGACCTGTACCAGCAGCGTAGTGTTATAAGCTTAATTAAAAATTTGGCCATCCGGTTTGCTCTTTGGTGGTTCTGCTTCAGTTCTTGTAGAGGCTGCGCCTTTTAAGGTTTCAATAAATCTCTGTGTGACTTCTAGTCTGTGCCCCCACTCGATTTCTCTTTCTCATGGAGAATAAGTCTCTGGAGAATAAGTCTTATGAGGAGAGGCTGAGGGAGCTGGGGGTGTTCAGCCTGGAGAAGAGGAGACTGAGGGGAGACCTTATTGCTCTCTCCAACTCCCTGAAAGGAGGGTGTAGAGAGGTGGGGGTCGGTCTCTTTTCTCAAGTCACAGGCGGCAGGACAAGAGGAAATGGCCTCAAGTTGCGCCAGGGGAGGTTCAGGCTGGATATTAGGAAACATTTTTTCACTGAAAGGGTTCTCAGCCATTGGAATGGGCTGCCCAGGGAGGTGGTTGAGGCCCCATCCCTGGAGGTGTTCAAAAGACGGGTTGATGTAGTGCTGGGAGGTCTGGTTTAGTGATGATGCTCCTTGTTTGTTGTGTGGGTGTCTATTTTTGTCAGTCAGGTTGACGGTTGGACAAGATGATCTTTAAGGTCCCTTCCAACCTAGAAGATTCTGTGATTCTGTGATTCATGCTCTTTGCCTGTGGCAGACGGGGTCCCGGGGTGTAACGCGTGTGTTCTCCCTGCAGTACGGGGAGCAGAGGGAGTTCCTGTGGCGCCTGGCGCGGGCACACAGCGACATGAGCGAGATCTCCGAGGACACAGATGAGAAGAGATCCTACGCCTCTGAAGGTGAGGAGCTGGGGGGGGGGAGGCAGGGGAAGTGGGGAGGTCAAGGCTGACATTTCAGAGTTAAAACCCCTCCTTTTCCCCCTTTCTTCAGCTTCTTGAGACTGTGAATTCTCAGAGGAGAGAGGGGGAAGTGGGACAAGCCCTAGATCTGGGGCTGTGGAATTAATCAGAACAAACCATTGAAAGCTCCCATTACCTTCTCTTGGCATGATGGGGAGGATGTTTTCATTATAAAAGGCTGTTCTTCAACATGAGGTGAAACCACGGTGGTACTCGGCTTAAAATGTGTATGGTCTCTGAGTGCTCTTGGATGTTCCATATCGCTGCAAGAGCATGAAATCATTTACGGAATGTTTCCAAGCCAAATGTTTTATAAAACTAACAAATATGCAGCTTTTTGTGCCATTCTGTTATTGCACTCTAACAGCCTTAAAGAAGAAAGTAAAGAGAGAAAGTGGCTGAATTTCTTCTCTCTGCCCACTGATTTGCAGGGAAGGAAGAGATGGAAATGGCCTTACAGAAATGGGACCAAAGCGCCGAGTGCCATCAGTGGTACGTGACCCTTCACTTCCTGCTTCTGAGATGCCCAGGGAGAGGACCTGGAGATTGCTGTGAGCTGAGCTGTGTTTAAAAGCAAAAAAATACCCAAACAAACAAAGTTTATTTGCTCTTACCTGGAGTATACTGCATTGGTGTTATTTCCCATAGGAAGCCATGGCTTGACAGAAGGTAGGTTTGGTTGTGATGACAGTAAGAAACTTTGCTTTGCTGGCCCCAATTTAATGAGTTCCTCTCTGAGACGAGAGGGGATTTCTGTCTGCAACGAGATGGCCAGGAGAGTTCTTGAGCCAAAAAGAATAATAGATTCTAAGAACAGATTGTATCAAGGCTTTTGTGAGCCTGCAGCTAACCAGTCACTGAGCGGTGGTGATGAAGGATGGGCTTGGAGAAGCAAGCGTTGACACCATGAGTTTGGGAGGAGTAAGTGCAACGAGCCCATCTGCAGGCTGCCTTTAGCACAGTGCATGTTCTTTGGGTGCTCACAGCTCAAGTGTGAGTGGTTTGAAGAGGTGGAGTGTGGTTTGTTCAGGAGCTTTCCCGGGAATTGTGCGGTTTCCCGTGCCGAAGGCGGCAGAGGGCAGGGTGCTGAGCAGCTCGGGGCCCCTCTGTGTGCCCGGGTGATGCTCTGCTTGGAAAGGAGCTGAACTCCCTCAGCAGGGCTTTTTTCCTGGGAAAATGCATCTCGGAGAGCCCTGTTCTGTGCTGGCTGTAGACAAGCTGCCAAAGAATATGTTTCAGGCAGATAACTTGGAGAAAGCCAGTTCCTGCGTTTGAGAGCTCAATATGGTGAGACTCTCTCTGTTTTCCTCCCCAAGCGCTCTGTTTCCTTTGGCCCCTTTTCAGCCTGCTGTGGAGGGATGTGTCGTCTTTCAAAGCCAAGTTCAGGGCCATCTGTGGGGGCAGCGTCTTCAGAGTTACTTATTAAATATGAATGAGGCTTTTCCTCTGTGTTCCTCCAACATTCTTGGGTTAATTGTTGGTTTTTACTTGTATTGATGTTTTGGTAACGCTCTGCTGCTTGCTGGATGTCAGGAGGTGATGTATTTGCCTCGACCAGCAAGGCCTGTGAGCGAGGACTTAGTGCTGTGCCAATGTTCTTACATTCCTCTTAATTCTGGAGCAAGGAGAGACATCATTCTTATCAGAGAGCCTTTTCTAGTCTGCTGGAGAGTGTCCTCTGGCCTGGCACCGGCTGCTGCTTGTCACGCTGCAGAAAGCACTTTGGCTCTGACATGAACTGAGACAGCACCATATGGCTCTTCTTTTTTTTACATTTTATATATTTTTTTTTCATGGTAAAGGATGAAATGATCTGCAGTTTAGCCCAGCAGGGTGTTCTGTGTTTGTATAGATGCTGTGGCTGGGCAGGATTTCATAAGGAGGTGGGCGAGAGGGGAGGTACCTTGCTCTCTTCAGCAGCCCCAATGGCCAGGCTGTGGTTGCAGCCCATGTACAGGGTTGGAAGCTTCCCTTTTTCAAAAAATACACCACAAGAGGGTTTGTAGAGTGGTGCAGATACTTGTAAGGGCAAGGGAATATGCTTCTCTGGTATTCTGGTGAATTCCTTGTTTCTCAGCAATCACTGTGAAGGACTGACAACATGTGAAATAGAATAAAAGAGAAATTATTTTTTCAATGGAGATTATTGGGGAAAACAGGATACTGAATGCCTTTACCAAACAAGATCTGTGCTCTGCAGCAATGACAAAATTTATTTGGAGGATCGGTTTGGACTACTGGCATCTAAATAGATGCCTTTATTGTCTTGAAAAGACTGCATCTCAGCTCTTAGGCGTGAATTGTGGTTCTCAGGTAAAGCTTTGCTCTGAAGGAGCAATACTGGGACTCACCACGTGCCCCATCTCTAGCAGATCGTGGTGCTCGGCTCTGTCTCCTGCCTGACCCTCCTGAAGGAGCAGGTTTTGGTTGCCAGGCTGAGTCCTGAGGTCTGTGAACCACTTCCAGACTCGGTGGTTTGGTGTTTCCCAAAGTGTGGTTCTGCCTCGGGGTACAGTGGTGGAAGTTTGTCTCTGGAATTCGGGGTTGGTGGGCACAAGCAATGGCTGCGGGGGGATGTTTAATCCTGTCTTGGTAGAGAATCTCCATCTTTTAAGCAGAGGGAGAAGTTGTTGGTGCCTCTGGTACAGCCCGTGTCCACCCTCCCCGCAGTGGTTTTGGGGGCAGAGGTCCCAATTCTGGTCCTGTTGGACCCACCTCATTTCCTAATGGGGGTGAATCCTCTGAATGTCTACGTCTTGCTTTGGACTGTGGAGAGCAGCTGGGGAGAGGAAAGAGCAGAGCACGGGGGGCACGGGGGTTGTTGGAAATGAGTATGTGACTACCTTTAGCACTTACAGAAATAATTATTTTCTGCCATGAACGGGACAGGAAATTATTCCCTTTCCAGCTCCGCATGGATTATTTAAGATGTGATTGTGCTGGATTTTGGTGCTTGTTTGTTGTTCCCTGTGCTGTGTCACTGCTTCTGCTGCGCAGCTTGTTCCCGGCCGTCGGCTCGGAGGAGCGACGTTTGCCGAGCGAGACAGGAGGTGCTTTGCCTGTGCTCATCCCTGCCAGCAGAGCTTTCCCCCTCTCTCAGTGCCCCAGAGTTATTGCAGTAAGGACTGACATTCTGAAGCAACAAACAAAGGAAATAACTGTGGCTGAGAAGGGATTTCGGAGCGCTGGCGACGGCAGCGCAGAGCGTGAGTGTCGGGATGGTGGGGGCTTTGGCAGCTCCACTCCTGGGGGTTTCTGAGGAAGGACAGAGGAAGCAGCGAGTGTCTGGGACTGTCTGGCCCGGCCTCGGGGTCTGCCCAGATCCGAGGGAGAGCCATTCCATGGATCTCCTGGGTCTTCTTGGCGTTAGGTTTGGTACGAAGCTGTGACTGCAGTGGGCTGCTCCCGAGAGCCGTCTCCGCAGAGCTGGGGGGGCCAGGGCTGCAGCCAAGCCCCCGCTGCTCTGCCTTCCTCCCCCGCACCCCTGGGATACAGAAACAGGCCGTGTTAGTGCCTTTGGAACAGATTTGGGTATTGTAGGCTGATGGATATGATACCGAGTGTCCTTAGTGCCTGTGTACTGCTGTCCTATAATTACTTGGTTCCTAGCTTTGATAGAGACATCAAAGTCATTCTCTGCTTTAATTACAAAAGATCTCTGAACAGATAGGTATTATGTCCAGCTAAATTGGTTTCCCCCTTTGCTGATTTCAGCTCGTGAACAGGGGAGAGAGCAAGTTCCTAAGTCTGTTCTTACTTTTAGGGGTGGGTGGGAGGGACATCGATGGTTGCACAAATGTGTACGTTCTGCTTACAGAGGGATATGTGACATCCTCCCGAACCCAGGGAGAGACACAGCTGTGGCCCTGGTGGAATCTCCTCTCGATCGGTGGGACTGTCTGCAGGAGGTGACAGCAGCTGTAGGGGTGGGGAGTGGATAGAGAGCTGTCTGTGTGCCTCGGCTTCCGCTCCTGCTGTGACAAGGACCATTGGGAGTACAACCAGAGCAGCGCGGGATTGCAGGGTTCCATCTGGGGAACATTTTGCAGGTGCTGTATTAGCAGCTTTTGTTTGAGTTGAAATTTCACGTTGGAAGTTAAATGCTATTTGCTGACTGCTGGAAGCTGTCGTTGCAGAAGAGGTTATAAACTTTGGCCCTCTGAGAGATATATGTGTTCTGCAGAAGCGGGAGGAGGACACGTTCTTGGGTTGGGTGAGCTTCCAGAATGTGCCCTCTCTTCTGAAGAGTCTGTCCCTTTGGTGGAACGTCTCACACACTCGACAGCCCCTGGACTGTCTACCAGCTCTTCTGGAATCTGGTGGGACATCTGGCTCTCCCATGGGAGACAGCATTTTTGTGGGGGGAAAAGCAGCAGCAGCAGCACTCTGGACATGACTTGAAGATAGCTTGAAGATGTCAGGACTTAACTCTTCATGGATGACTGCCTGGATCTGGCCAGTTTGGAGCTGTGTCTGAGTTTAGGAGCTGAGCATTTCCTGCTCCGCGGGTGGGTGAAGCCAGGGAAGTTGCTGACAACATAGATTAGGGGCAGAAGCAAATAGGAATAGGCGTTAGAAGATATTTCAGAAAGTAAAGGAGGAAAAGCAGCAGGCAGCTAGAGCCACCTGATGGCATCCCCCTGCCTCAGGAGGGTCCCTCCCTCCGTCGGGGTGTCGATACCCTGGGACATCTCCATGTCCCGAGGGAGTGGGAGTGTGGGAGAGGAGCCAAGGAAGAGAAAGTACTGAAAAGTATAAACAGGGACAAAAGAAATCTCAGCAGGGATCAATATTCCCCTCCTTCTCCAGGGAATAGTGAGGTAACTTGACATTTGGAGTCTCTGGGTCGCTTTTTACTTGTGGGGCATAAAGAAAGGAGAAGCTCTGAGAACTGAGATCTCAGGAGTGCAAGTACGTGAGTAGAAAGTGTTTGTAGCACAGGTGATAATGCTGCAAGTGTGGAAAACAGCTCCTGCACTACAAAAAGGCTTTCTTTTGCAGCTCTTCTCATCATTGTTGGTGCAGGTGATGCCTTCCTTGGAGCACTAGTACTTCCTGCAGCCTTTTTTTTAAATAAGTTGAGCATCTTTCCCAGGTGTGTCCAGGCTCTTTGCTGGTGGCTCTTGCAGGACAGCTGAAACTGCACGTCTCCTGGGGAAAAACACAAGTTTAGATAAACATGAGGTCACTCCATAAAAACTGTATCTTCTAAACAGTAAATACTGTCTGTATCTTCAGCCTTCACTGGGAATGGACACCTTTTGTTCTGCAAAGAGAAGGCACATGCTCCTTTCCTACCCCCTCCCCAGGCGGACAAGATCTTCAGCAGATAAAACCAGTACAGGCATTGAACAAAACTGAAGACACATTCTGTGCCCCAGCTGGGGTAGCTAGTGAAGGTTTTAACTTCTTTAGGATCAAAGAAAAGCAGATTTCAGTGCAGGTAGAGAAGGGGGTATTTCAGCCTTTCTTTTCTGTGGCAGTCACTTGAATTTTGACTTAAATCATGAAATTTAACTGATCCAGAAAAGTGTTTGGTTTCTAGTGCAAATGAGACCAAGAACAGAGTGTTGGGTGGGACCTCTATAAAGTTGTCCCACTCGTCTTGCAGTGGCACACGGTGGGTACTGAAACTGTCCCCTGTCCCTGGCAGCTCCTCGTGAGGGCCTTGTGCTGGTCTCTTCTCCCCTGGCTCCTGTTTTAGCAAATACTGGATTTAATTATATGGATATAATATGTATATTTTATCTATAACTATGTGGATTTTTCCTGATGTCAACCTTTGTTTTTACTTCTGTCCTGTCTAAACATGAGAAAAAAAGTTTAAGGTGACGAGCTATTTGTAAGAGAATAGGATAGTCCTTGTGTTCATCCCAGGTTTTGAAAGAAAGCAGCCCCACTCGTCACAGCCTTCTCGTGTCTTTTAGTGTTCTGCAAACTCATATTCTTCTTGTCATATGGACTCTGTCCAGCTTGTCCTTTTTCTTTTTTTTTCTTTTTAATTTATTACTCAAAAATTGTATATAGTACTTAGCTGAGGCTTTGCTTGTACAGCATCATGTTATTGCCTTGGGCTGCTTATGATCTACTGTAACCTTTAAATTTGATTCTCTGCAGCCAACCCCCCACTAATCGGTGAATTTTCTAGCATATGCTAGTCTGCAGCCTACTTAAATTTAATCTCTAGTATATTACCCGACCTAATAGAGTTATTTAATAGCATCACTGCTGTCAGGGGATTTTTTTGCCATTCCATGTCCATTCGTTTACCGTGATTTTCAAAGAAGAGTTAATTGTGGAAAAACTCAGATAAAGGGGACTGGGGTCATTTACTGACTCCAAAATAAAGTCACGTTCTTCCTGATGGGTGCTTTTTGGAACAGATTAGACAGACCTTGGCCTGGGAGCCTCCCACCTTTGCCCTGCCATGAGCTGTGGATCAGCTTTATACCCGTTACAGGGCAATGTTTGCTTACGGGAACGTCACAAAAAGAATGGTAGTGATCCTGAAACTCTGTATACACCAGTCTGGTTTTTGTTGGTCCTCGTTCCGTTTCTCTAAAAGCAGGAGATAATTTTGGTGTTTTGCCCTTGCCTCTCTCATTGGCAATCCTGGGAATTCAAGTTGCTGGAAACTCCTGCCTCCCGTCTGTCGCTGAGCCGTGGCGACGGCGTTAACCACGAGCGCTTCATTGGTGGTGGCTGGTTAAAGACAGCCCCAAGAGTCCGAGCAGGTTTCCCCTCTGTCCCTGGAAGTGGATTTGAGTGATTGAATTCACCCTGAGATTCCCAGGGCTGCACTTTTCTGCCTTCCCAGTCAAGATAGTATTTTAAGAGGCATCCTGCCTCAAGCCCGTAAAGAAAACGTCTAGATTCTTTATCAGGATGTATATTTTGGAGCTCTGTTTCTCCCAATTACTTACGTGATTAGAAAGGGGCCTATTCTTCTAGCTTTTTTTCTGGCTCTGGTAACTGAAAGTTGAGCTCCAGCAAGGATTTTATCTCCTTGTCTGTGTGTGATAAAATCTCTCTTGATTTCCTGGCAACGAGCAGTTCCTCCAGGCTGGCTTTGCTGTGTTCAGCTCACAGCTGATGCTGATTGAGTAGGAATACATGCTAGTCATTAATTGGTTGTGTGTTGCGATGAAAAATTAGTTAAATGCGTATGAAGTGAGTTTTGATGTCAATAGAAGGGAAGGACTTCATTACTCCGTGCTGTTGTGGTCAGACTTTGCTGTTTGACTCATTTTGACAATATTCTCTCCTCTGGTAGTGTCTCCTTCCACAGAGTTCCTTTTCTAATAAACGGGGAAATCCGTACCGTGCTGAGATTCCTCTGGGAACGTGTGGTTTGGGCGGTGTGGGCAGCTCAGGGAGTGGTTCTGGTTAATAATTAGCTGAGTGGTGTCATTATGTAAGGATTTGGTAACTGCTGAGACCTGGATCCGAGCGGTGCTCTGGAGGTGTCATTCTCTTTGCAGAAGATGAAAATCCCCTTCCCCGACTCGTCATTTCTAACCTCTGCTGTTCCCGCTGCCAGTGGTGCCTCTCCTCACCCGTCCCACACATCTCACACGACAAATGGCTCCTGCAGGCCCAGCTAAACAAGCAGGAGAGATAAAAGAGAGAAACCACATCAGCCCTGCTGGGAGAGGGAGGCAAGTTGGGATGTGGAGATCTCTGCAGCCTAGAGATCCCAGAACTGCAGAGTCTTGCGTGGGAAGGTCACCAAGGGGATGGTGGCCCTGGGCTTCTGGGCACAAGATGGAAAGGGAGGTCCATGGACAGGGCTGGGACCAGCAAAGCTGGACCAGATAAAGTCGTCTGTTCTTGGGACTGCAGTGAAACCCCCCTTTTTTTTTCTTAATTTTTTTTTCCCTGTTTGTTTCTTGACACAAAGATAGGGCTAGTATTTACGGCTTGTTTTACGTAACATTTCACCAGGCCATTAAAAACTAACTTTTATTTATATTTCCGGACAGCTGCGTGTCACACCACTTGACATTTATATGGCTGCGGGAGGGGAGACGGGGCTCGGCTGGCTCCGTGTCCCCACGGATTTATTGCTGCTCTGGAGATGGGGCTGCTTGGGCTTCCCCTGGGACCCACGGGGTGCTGTAAAGGGGGTTCTGGGGGTTTTTTTCTCCCCTGTTAAAAAGTCACAGTGTTTCCCCGGTTTGTGGCAGAACCTTCAACCAGACCCCACTGTGTGTCACGTCTGTCCGTGTGTCGGGAGCCCAAGCAGTGTGGCTACAGGAGCCAGTGGCCACAAGTCCCTGCGCGTTAGACAGGGCTGCAGACTACCTGATTTATTGTCCAGGAATGTTTTATCTTGTGATCTTAGAAAATAAACCTTTTATTGGCTTGTATTTCTTAACCCTGGTCGTGTTGTAGTTAGGGATACTTAGTACGTGCTGACGTTTGTTGGGAAACAAACTGGGGAAGATCATAAAAGCACTTCATTTCACTGCCTGCGAGGGAGGGGTTGTGGCACTGCAGCTGGGGGAAGAGGGGTTTATGCTGTGGGATTGATCTGGGGATCCGTTATCGTGGAAAATAAGAATTTTAGAACTGAACCAGAGTTCTTCCCCAAGAAAATTCACGTTCGAGGAATGAGATTTAAGTTATGCTGTGGGATTGATCTGGGGATCCGTTCCGTTGTCGTGGAAAATAAGAATTTTAGAACTGAACCAGAATTCTTCCCCAAGAAAATTCGTGTTCAAGGAATGAGATTTAACGACAAAATTGTAACTGTTCAGGAAAGGCAATGTGTTTTGTGACTTGCACGTGGAGAACTTGGCTCAGGCGAGAGCAATGAGGTGCGAAATGTTTTGTGGGTTTTTGGCGACGCTGAAGAGCATGTGCTTGGAGATGGGGAAGGTTCCTGAGGAATTCCCACAGGCACATCTCCGTGGTGGTTCCCTGTCCCCAGGGACGGGGGGTGGTGGGGTGAGACGTGGCATCCCGCAGCGCTGGGACAGGGGTGCAGGGAAGGGAAGGAACCTCTGGGGAAGCCATGCAGGGAGGGGGCACTTCCAGGGGTCCTTACCCTTCCGAAACTCTCACAGCTCAGGAAATGACTGATTTCTGTGGGTACTATGCTTCTCGGGGGCAAAAATTGCCCTCTTACTAGAGAAAACTGAACAGCTTTGAACTTGCATCACTGAAAACATGTTCTTTTATTTCCCCACGGGGTGGCTGTCGGCTGCAGGATGTAGGTAGGTTCTCATGGTGCTTTTCCTCCAAGAAGCCAGCTGGGCTGTAGGCTGGGGGGCTGTATGGAAGGTCGCTGCACCCATTAGTTAATTAGAGCTTTCTGTAGTTCTGGCACTCGCCGCGGTAGCGTTTGCTCCTCATTGTGCTGGGGTTTGACACAGTTCTGTTGCTGAGGGAGGGACTGTAGAGCGTGGAGGTGTTTGTGCAGAAGGAGGGCTTTCCAGCTACTGGTGCCACGAGGTTCTGTGTCACACCAAGCCACTCCTTGACTTGCCACCATCCCACAAGACCTTCTTCTGCACAGAATCTACTGCATGTGTCCCTTCCCTGTAGGAGCTGTACAGCATGCCTGTTTTCCCCAGCAAATTGGGAAGCTTTAACGCGCTTCTGTATCCTCCTCCTGAAGCTGTGAGCAGGGTGTACATGGGTGTTGAGACTGGTTTGGTTTCTCACAGCCATCTCCTCCCCGCAGGTACGCTGTGCTCTGCGGGCAGCTGGCCGAACACGAGAGCATTCAGAAGCGCATCCAGACTGGGTATGTTTTTAAGGTGAGTAGAAAGGAAAATTGGCTCCAGCTCTTGCTGGGGAAGCGACAGGTCCCAGAGAGATGCTTTGAGTGGGAGGTTTGGGCTGAGGAAGGTGATTCCAGCCATGTGTGATGAAGGTGACTGGTCTGGCTCTGCACTTTTTGCACGCTGTAATATCAGAAAAAAAGAAGAAGAAAAGTCTTTCAAATAAAATATATGTATATGGTGAGGCTGAGAACTTGAAACATGGAATTACCATGTGGTAATGAGCAGCAGCACCAGCTCTTCAGCAGCTGCCTGTGAGCAGGCTCCCCACGTTTGTTCGTCTGCTCTTGTGGATGTTGTAGTTGCTGATAATGACAATGTAATGAGTGTTGGTGATGGCTTTCCCCAGGAACACATCGATAAAGCGATTGAACTGAAACCGGAGGATCCAAAGGCTTACTATCTTCTGGGCAGGTGGTGTTACCAGGTAAGATAGTTTCTTCCTCCTTAGTGCTGGTTTCTTCCTCCTTGGAATTATTTCCCTGTTCAAGTGAAAGATGGGTGGGTTCAAACCGCAGGCCATAAGGATGAGGACACACTTTAGCAGCTGAACTCAGACACTGTGTCAGGAAGTGCAGGTGTGGGAACGGCCTGGTTGCCTGGAGCGGTTTAAAAGTTGTGCTGGGAGGGGGTCTAGAAACTCTTCATTTCAGTGCTGAGAAAAGCACTTGGCTGAGGAATGCCATAAATGCATCGCATTCACAAACCTCTTGTGGTGTAAAGGCTCATGTTCTTTTACGTGTAGCTCCTTGATGCTTTTATAAAAGCCCTGGTGAAACTATTGTCTGCAGGACACAGTGTCGCATTCAGAGTCTCAGCTTTCCTCCCGAGCTGCTTTCTTCACTGTAAGGAAGAGGTCTGGGCAGTCCATCTCCCTCGCCTGCCTCATGATAACCTCAGATGGATAGCTTTGTGCCAGATTTGAAACGGTACAGGTTTTTAATCAGAGTTTGTGTCAGCTCAAAGTGAGAGAGGGGCAGTGGGAGCGCTGAGCTGCTGGTCAGGCCCGACGCTGGCTGGGCCGTTCCCAGCGCTGTGCTCTGCCCACCATCAAGGGCAGGGAAAGGCCAGGAGTGTCCAGACACACTCAGGGTTTTAAAGGCATGAGGAGTGCTGTTCTGTGTGGGCAATGCCATTTGCTCTTGCTATTATAATGCTTTTCTCCCCAGTCAATAAAGTGCTTCAGGAGAACTTGGTGTTCTCTGTGCAATGGAGTAAAAGCTGCTGGGTTCTGCTCTTTCCTTTAGTTATTGCCACTCTTCTGCTCTTCATCTTCCCCGTTTTTTGTCTCTTACCCAGAGGGGAGCTCTTTACTAAAAGTCTTATTTCTGAAGTGCTCTGAATTGGAGCTCTGGAGGATTCAGGGCTCTGGGCTCAGTTTTTCAGTCTCTGCAGGTGGCACGGGAGGTGAAACGGCAGAGGATGGATCAGGGAAGGCACGAGCTGCAGACCAGCTCGCTGTTCCCCCTGCTTTCCTCAGGGAAAACAGACCACCTCCAATCCTTGAAGCACATATGGATGTGATCAGGGACATTTTGGGGCTGGCAGGGGCTTCTGCAGACAGTCTATCTGTATAATCCTTTGCATGTGTTTCCTCTGCCGCCGCTGCACGAGGCGCTGAAGGCATCAGGAGGAGCGTGTGCCGGCTGCTCCCCCTTCCTCGACAGGGAAAAGCTTGGAGTCAAAGGCCATAAATCAGATTTAGTGCCTATAAAAAGAAATAAGAGTTTGCAGTAACTCTCTACTTCTCAGTTTATTCCATTTGAAAGCACTTTGCTGCTGTCAGAAGTGAAGTCACACATTGCTGTAGCAATGTAGCTGAGATAATTGCCACCGGTAATTAGGGAGGAGCAGGAAGCTGATCCAGTGGCAGCTCCCACCTCTTTATTCTGTTGGGGACTTTCTGCTCAGCTTTACTGCTTGTCGAGCTGCTGACGCTGTGAAACAAACCCAGCTGAATGCAGAAACATGTTAGTGCTGCTGCTATTCAGCATTATAGGAATTATACCGTGTTAAAGAAGATATTAGCAGAAGATCCAGCCCGATGCACCCCGTCCCCCACTGCAATGTCGGGCTGGCTCTTACTAGAGAGGGAGGAGCTGGGAGCAGGAGAAGAAATGAAATAATTCCAATAGCTACCAATTTCTCCAAATGTGACTGTCTGTTGGTGGGAAGGCTTTAGCCAAAGATCCAGGGATTTGTGTGTGGGGAGAACAGGTTCTGGTACAGGATTTCAGCTGGAGAGGGGGCTCCACGTGGGCGTTTGCTGGGACACGGAGGTGGGAGCTGCCAGGAGCTGTGGGGCGGTGGGGATTTGGGACCACCCAGCCGTGCTGTTTGTGCCTGGAATATGGAGCTGCAGAGACAGGTCTGGCTGTGAGCATGTGGCAGCTGAGGGGCGGAACTGCACAAGCTGATCGGGGAGGAGGAAAAGCAAATGAGGTTTAACTCTGCCACCAGACTTGGATGCTTGTCCAGAATCTGCCGACACTCCCGAGATCTCTGGCTTTCTCCCAAGCACACGAGCCAGCTCCAAGGATCCCAATAACTCCTTGTCTGTGTACTTCTGCCTGTGCTGTGTCTCTGGGGGGTCTGACCCTTCCATCTCCCTCTCCCTGCAGGTTTCCCACCTGGGATGGCTCGAGAAGAAGACAGCTTCTGCCTTGTTTGAAGCCCCTCCTACAGCCACGGTCCAGGACGCGCTGCAGAACTTCCTCCGGGTAATGAAATCTGGTGGATAATAACCTGACACATGCAGTCCCGGGTGGAACTGGGGCTCTTGTCTTCTGCTTAAACTGGTCGCTCCCCGGGGGCTCCACGACACGTCTCCACTGGCGAGAACCTGTGGAAGAAAAGCTGGTGAAGGCAAAAAATTTTGGAGCCTCTGTTATAGAACAGCCAGATGGGAGAACGTGATTTTTCAAGACCTCAGAACTAGACCCAAAGCAATCAGAACTGGTTTTAAGGGTGTTGGGTTTTCTTTTAAAAGCTGCGTAGTGGAGAGATGTATTTCTGGATGCATGTGGTCTGTAAGACCCGAGTGAGCTCCCCCCTGGGATCACTCTCACACAGATGCCCACAACATTCTGTCCCTCTGATTTCTCTTGGAATATTGTATTAAAAAGCTCTCTGATTAGGTCAAACTTCTCCAATTCAAACTTTAGAAGGCAACTACTTCAGGGTTTGAGGGGCACATTGCTTATGTAGTTCTCTAAAGAAGAGGACTTCCTACAGTTTAAGAGCACTACCCTTTGAAAGGCTTATTTTTTGTCCCCCTGTCGATGGAAAAGAATTTCAGAGATGGCATTTTTGAGCATCTTACTCTTGTTGCGAATGAGTTAAAGAGAGTGGCTTTGGCTGTGCCTGTGAGAACCACTCTTAAGCACCTCTGATGAAGTGTTAGAGAAACCAATCGCCCTCCTGATGCTGGGCCAGCAGCTCTGCAAAGTGTCAGGGAAGAGCATGCTGACTTCAATTTCTTAGAATTTTGCCAAAATGTAGTTGTTTGAGGGGGAATTTGCGATGGGTATCTGCTCTAGGCAATATACTTGTCACCGAAGTGGTTAAATCATTTCGGAGATAAGTTTGAGGGGAAGCGTTTTGTTTCTTTTCATTAGAGAGAAGAACAGCCTCTCGGTTTTAGAGCAGAGCTGGGGTTTGAAACGGGAACTTGCATTTTCCTGAGGTTTAACTTTGGTCGGATACAGAGGGAGCTTGAAAAGCACAATGAAGCATCTCCCTAGGAGCTAATTATCCCCTAGCACTTGTGCTTCCTGTTCAGGGAATGGAGATCTTGGCAAAGGGCAGCTCTGGGTTTGTCACACACGGAACCAGGTCTAAGATAGTGGAATGAAGAGGTTGAACTTGTCTGCTTGTGGCAGACTTGGTAGAGTCTGGGCTTGGGCATCTTGGTAAAGCACGTTGGGGACCTTGAGCGCAGATGGGACACAGGTCATGGCAGGGGTTTGTTACAGGAGCCCAATAGAACAAAGCTGTGTGGAGAGTGGTGACTCTCACAGGGATGAATGGAAGGAGACAGAGGGACCTGGGAAACCGGGAATTAGTTGCCGAGAAGGAGGAGATAGGAATCTTCCCCCAGGTTTTTGAGGTTTGGCGCAGTCGGGAGAAGCCCAAGTGGATGAGACTGGATGGTTGAGGGAGGTAAAACAGTGCACGTGTGTGTGCAGGAGGGGTCCTGGAGCTGGTCCTGAGTGTCCCCTTGCTGCCGAGTGCTTGCCCTCACCACTCACCATCCTTCTGTGGCACTATAGCAGGAGGGAGTGTGGATGGAGTTCAGTGAGTCATGGCACTTGGTGACAATCTCAGGAGTTCACTATCCCAGCCGGGTGAGCCCGTGGAACACTCTTACACTGCTCTGTCTATTTAAACTTGGTGACAATCTCAGGAGTTCACTATCCCAGCCGGGTGAGCCCGTGGAACACTCTTACACTGCTCTATTTACAAAAGTAGGCTTTCGTCATCTGTTTTCTTCTTTTCTTTTTTAAGAGGTGCAGTAAGCCTGATGGAAGCATTAACTGGTCCTTTGTGTACCCTAATGTCAGCCTTTGCTTGTCGCACCCTCCCCTCTTCTGTGCAGGTCGAGGAACTGAGCCCAGGGTTTTCCAAAGCAGGAAGAGTCTACATTGCCAAGGTAACCAGTGCTCACTGCTTTCTTTACTGCAGCCATATGCTTCAGGATAAGAAATATTTATATTTTAAAAAATTATCTTTGCCTGTGAAGTGCTAGGTACTGGCAAATTACTCCATCCAGAAGCAAGATTTTATAAAATGACAATATTTTTTAAAAGGCCAAATCACCTTGTGCAGAGGTTAAAATTCAGGGAGGATTTTGCCTTTGAGCCATCCAGTGGAGCATCCTCCTTGGTTTTTAACGGATCAAACTCTATATAAAGCTGCACTGGTAGCTTGTGAGCCACAGGCTGGAGGTTTAACCCCAGCACCATGGATTTCTGTGGTGTGCGCAGAGAGAGAATCCTGGGGAAAAGGGAAGGGTAAAATATGTCTCTGCTTTACCAATACAGATGGGAGTCCTGAGCAACAATTAAATAAAAAATACACCAGAAATCCCTGGAGCTCCGGAGATCTTTTTGTTTGCATTGAAGGAATAATTGGCTTTGAGCTCTTAAATGTTAAAATAGCTGCTTAATTCCTCCAATCTTCAGTTGGAGTCTAGAAATGCTTAAAGCCCAAACAGCTTCAGAAATACTAGCCAGAGTGGGTGTAGCAAAGAGTAGCTGTAGCCGTTCTCTGTGAAATTCCTGAATTCCCAGTGTCCCAAAGAACATGAATTTTATCAGGGTAGCGTGCAAGGCGCGGGATCTGCTGGGTCTGGAGTGCATTATCCCAGGAACCTGGGTGCAGGATTTATTTCACAACAGGCGCCTCGTTAAGGAAAAGGAAGGTGACAGCAGGGGAGGAAAACCCCGGGAAGAGGGGCAGGAGCCTTCCCCCAGCCGGGCTCTGTCTGTGATATATCGCAGCAAAATCAGCTACATATTTGTAAATCAGCTGCCTTTTGTTTCTGGCTGCTGGTGTGCTGTGATGAATGTGCCCTTAATTGCTTCTTTCTCTGCTTGTAAACACAGCCAGCATTCCTGGAAATTCAAAATCACCCCTAAATGCCTTGTAGGGAGTAAAGAATGGGAGACTTGGGACTTACTCCCAGTGAGGTTGCAGCAGCAAATCCTCGCAAGTCTCTGCCTAAATAGATTTTTCAGACTTGATGTAAAAATTGGGGTTTCTTTGTGTGTAATCTACGCATTTTTATTGGGCTAAGAGTTCCCCACGTCTGTGGTGGATGTGACCGAGCTTCAGAAACACTCTGCAGACACAGGTTTGCCCAGAGGTTAATGGGACCCTTGTACCTGTTTGGGTTTGGTTTGGGGTTTTTTCCCCTAATCCCAGGCTCTGTCACTTTGGGTCACATCCTTAATGACAAAATTTAAAAAGTGCAGTTGGTATCTAATTATTTTGAAGGAGATAGTGCTCTGATGGGTCAGACGCAAAGAAAAAAACAGAATTGTGTTTTAGTCACTTTCTGACATTTTTGCCTGGTGTGCAGGGACACGGAGTGTTTCAGGGCTCCAAGGGTGTCCGTGACTCCATCTATTTTGAGTTGCCCAGCTGCAGATTTGACAGCACTCGAGCAGAACAGAGAGTTCTCTCCCAGATCTATCCCACGCCGCAGGAAAAGCACCAGAACGCAGACGTGCACGTACCAAGCAGTGACATTTCAGAGCCCTGCAGGAGTTTAACTGTTGTCCTCATCCTAACTGAATGTTGGCTCTTGATGGGGATTACAACAATGCTGGATTTTTTATTTATTTTTTAAGCAACCGCTTCCTTTTCCCCTACTTATTTCATAGCCCCCCAAATGCCCCCATGGCCCTCTGGGCACCAAAACCCTTCCTGTTACTCAGAGGGACGACTCTTTCTCTGCTGTAGGAGGGCAGTTCACGATGAAAAGTATTTCACAGCTATTGTGAGACCCGAGAGACCTGTAAATGTTAGGAGTTACAGTGCTTGTGGCTGAACCCCAGCTTTAACAGCCTGGGGAATGTCAGCTTCCCCATGATGTGCTCTCAGAACAGCAGTTTTACAATGAAAGTGGTGTGAGGAGTAGTGGCTGAATGGAAGTCAGAATAGAGCTTCGAAAATGGTGGCAGTCTCAGGGATACCTTAAAATCTCCAACCAACAAACCAATCTCCTTGCCCAAAACAAAACAAAAATCAGAAATCTAGTAATCTCTACTGTGGTGGTGATTTAATGCTGTGTGAGTGAAGGGAACTGCAGGAAATGTGAGAAGCCTGAAACAGTGCAAATGGTTGAGAGGTAGAAATAGCTCTTTTTATCAGTTCCCAGGGTCCATAATCACTCAGTTCCATTTGCTGCCCACTTTTTTCCCCATTTAACTCTTCTCACGTTGTCATTTTTCCTCCTCAGTGTTACCAGGACCTGGGGAACCACTCTGCGGCCGCTCTCTGGATGAACCTTGCTGCGGAGCTGCCCGTTAACACAAAAGAGGTAGCGGTCTCTGTGAGCAGGGGTTGAGGATGAGCAAAGATAAAATTGATTTCTGAGAGATGTTCCAGCTTGTACACCTGGGTTTTAGAGTGTTTCGTTCCTTAGTGTGGACTCTTCTTCTCTTGGGGCCTGTTGTCAGAATGCCTAAAGCAATTCAGGAATATAATGACAGATAGTAAGGAGCTGAAAGTGAGCTTTAGAAGCCCAGCAGAGCAGTGTGAGTGGTGCTGCTGCAGCCCATCAGTGGGAGTATCTGCAAAGCTGCTTCCCATGCCCCTTTTTTGGGGCAGCTTATTCCTTTGGGCTCTGTTGTGCCTGGCCAGCTCAGGTGGGACAGCTTCAGCTGGGTGGCTGTCCTGGGGCTGGGGCACTCTCCATGGCCCCGCTGAGATTGAGCTTTTCTGGTACAAACGTGGCTTCCCAACCCCCCCAGGCAGGAACCAGCTGTGCTGAGCCACTCAGAAGCTCAGCTCTGCTGCCCAGTGTTTTTATTCTCGTTTATTTTTTAATATCTAGGGTATTTTGGCTCTTCTGTTCCTCTTGCAGGGCTGTGGAGAGCAGGCTGCAGCACATGGCAGCGCTCCCCAGCTGGGAGCTCTTCTGCACTTTGCCTCTTAAGCAGCAACTGTGTAGAAGGTGCCCTCAAACTGCTGCCAGTTGGAAACTGAAACCACATCAGCTTTTAATATTACTCTGATGTTATTTGCATCGTCGTGAAAAATGCAGGGGAAGTAACGTGAGCAGGGTGCTGCAGCCCTTGCTGTTCAGCCTGGGGCTGAGGGAGCAGACAGGCAGGGCTCTAGAAACACACAGTGCTTTCACACCGCTGCTTTTAAGGCCACCATTAGTTTTTAGGTCTCTGTGGCAAAAGTCTTGTGCTGAGATTCAAACCACAGGCATGTGAGAGATCCTGGCAAACCAACTGGCCAGGAGCTGGCTCCCCTGGGCTACTGCCTGCAGGGCAGGGCCAGGATCACATCAACCACTTGGCCACCGGCTGCTGCCCAAAATGGGGAAACCAGGGATGGAGCAGAACTTGTTCCCTTCTTATAGAAGGAAATATCCTGGTTCTGCTTCCTCGCCGTAGGCTGGTTGGAAATCTCTCTAGGCAGAGTGGGAACGGCACGGCTGACACACAGGAAGAGGATTTTTTCCAAAAGAACAAGAGATTCTTGTGTTGGAGGCATAGGAGTTTCATCAGAAAAGCACTGAGATTTTCAGCAGAGACCAGGCAGGAAAGTCATGAGAGGTTAATTCTCTCTCCTGCTCTGAAATGACAAGTGGGAGTCGAGCAAGGGAGAGCGAGGAAGCCAATGCTTAAGTGGCTTTGGTTAAGTCTTTGCAAATGTGAGGTCTCTCATCAATCAAATAACTTCCATCAGGCTGAGAAGGGAAAACAGAGGCATTTATCCAGAGTCGGAGGGGGGGGGGGGGGGGGGGC